CTGTGTGTGTGCTGTGTGTGTGAGTTGTGTGTGCTGTCAGGATGCTCTGCAGGGGCCCTGACGGTGTGTGTTGCTCTTCAGGACAGCCCTGCCGAGCCCCAGGAGCCCTCGAGTGCGAAGTCTGTGGAGGCGCCGCGTCCGGAAGGGAAGATGGAGGAGAGGGCCCCCTCCGAGGCCCTGACGCGCCTCCTGCAGAGCACCCTGGGCAGGCAGAGCGCCGCCGGCGCGTCCCAGCTCCACGCCCCCCGCCAGAGCCTGTACCGGGCCCTGGGCAAGCTGGGCCAGTACTCCCAGCCCAGCGCCTACAGCGCCACGCCGTACAGGCACCGGGACGGCAGACTGCTGCAGGCCTTCGTCGACATGCTCACCGAGGAGCGCCAGTAGCGCCCGGCCGTCACAGCCCCACCGACCCGTCCAAACAGAGCCAACTCCGCAATCGACCGCCGATTCCGTCCTCCCAGCCCTGCCTGGCGCGGGCTGGGAGAGCAGGATCCCCTGTCCCTGGTGTGTGCGCCCGCTGGAAACTCCCACCCGCCGGCGCGCCTGCCGCCCGGAGCCCCCCTCGCTTGCTGCCCTTCACCTGGTCGGACGGACCCTGGTCCTGCAGCGAAGCATCACTTATGGGCTGTACAGCGGGCTCTGTAAATTGTCTGTATCCATTTTCTTTAGTTGATTTTTTTTTAAATCGTAGCAAAACCAAGTTGATCTGCAATGTACAACAGGATAGTATACCCTGGTCGCTTAGGTGGGGAAAGCATGAACAGAAATCTGATTTCAGGAAGTGAGGATTTGGTTGAAAGAGTGCATCTGCTGTTTTCAGTTTAGTTCACGTGTGATACCAAGTTATATCAAGTAGGGGTGATGGGTGATTCTCTGCTGTTGCTCCTGCTAATATCTTGAGACACTGCACACAGTACTGCAGCTCTTCAGGCTGCCTGCTCCATCTGCAGTGCTTTCTTTCATCCCACTCCACAGTGACGTGAATATTGAGCGGGTTCAGCAGGTCACAGGGGCAGCTCTGTCTGCCTGCGCTTCTCTCCCTGTGCAGCAGGGGGTGCCGTGTGTGTTTCAGAGCAGGATCAGGCTCCTGGCCCAGCAGGAGCTCGTTAGCTTCCCTGTGAGACACGTGACAGCAGCAGCCTGCCTCCGCACCCCCTTGGAGAGCACCCGTTTCCTTCCACCTCCCTGAAACAACCTCCTTCTGAACCCCACGCCGGCTCTGGGCTCCCTCTCTATCCCTGATCCTTGGGCTTTGTCCACGTGAGGTGGAATTTGATTTTTCAGAAAATAAAATAATGCATTATGTTCCTGGTACCCAATTTTCTTTTTTTTAAACTTTTTCTAGGAGGCTTCATTGGATTGAAAGAGCTCTATAAATTAAAAGAGTGCCTCACACTTTTAATCACATTCCAATCGTATTAATCATGCTTTCTAGTGCACGGTATCCGCCAAGCTGATCTAGGGAAACAAAATAGTATCACATCACATTGAAAAACATCTCTCCTGTAGTTCTGCCCTTTTCATGGGTCATTTCTGGGTAAAGGCCTGTTTCTCCTTGGATTCCGGAGGATTGGAACCAGGACACAAGAAACGTCACAAACACAGGAGCCATTCAGCCCATCTAACCTGTAACCTAATTAGTAGTTAATTGATCTTGGCGTCTCCGGCCTTTTCTTGAGAGAAACGAAGGTATCCGCTTCAACAACATGGCCGGGCAGCTTGTTGCACACTCCCGCCACCCTTTGTGCAACGAAGGGCCTCCTTTTCTCCTGTTCTGTGTTCATTTTTCCATGGCTCATGAGGAATAACAATACCCACCAGGAAAGAAAGCATCTGGGACTGTGTGTAGAGGAGCTAGACATGGAGGGTTTCAGCTTCACTCCCCTGTGCGAGGGCAGCCCCCAGCGGAGAGGGGGTGACCCAGGGGGGGAGCAGGGAGGGGTGCAGGCAGGTGAAGGCGAAGAAGGAGAATGGTTTTCACAGCTGTTTGGGACGACTGGGGGTAAGAGCAGCAGAAGGAAGACATCCCATAAAGCTCAAAGGCTGGAGTCTCGTCGATGACCTGCAGTGTATTCTGACATCGCTCAGCCAGCCACTTGCCCATAAGGCAGTTTTCATGGATTCTGTGAAGATCAAAGGTCAAAGGTTAAAGAATGTGATGCAACAGAAATGAAGCCAATCAATAGAGACCGTTTCATAAAAAAAACGGATTGTCAATTTTCCAGTGACATCTGATAATTGAGTGTCATTGGAGTGCAAACACACTCCCCAGCCCCGAGCTGGCCAGTCTGCAACCACAATGGTGTTTTTCCAGTCCGGAGTGTCTATTACATGTACAGATTTCTATTTTAATCTGACTGGTTGGTATTTCACTGATTGCTTGAAGAAGGCTCGAAGGACAGGGGTCGTTACAACACTGGGAATCGAATTGCTGCATCATTTGTTTGAGGGAATCTGAAATGAGGGAAAATGATCACACGTTTAGGAATTTATACCTCAGCCTAAGGCTGTATCCTGGTTCTGGAGGGCCAGTGAGTCTGCAAGTTTGCACACAAATTCAGCTCTTAATGAGCTCAATCAGCTAATTACTGGCTTAATGGGACCAATTGAACAGTTCCTTACAAGCCCTCCAGGTGTGGCTGCATTGCAGAAACCAGGAAACCCTGCAGAAATGCTGGAGCTCCAGGACCAGGACTGGACACCGTCCAATCACAGGTTCCATTTCTGGATCTCAGATGTTTTTGTCTCAGCAGGAGCTGGCTTGGAAAGTTAGCTTCTGAGACACTTTTGCATAGAGGCTGAAAGTAAATGTCTCACCCCCTTATAAGCCTTTGAGAAAACATGAACAGCATCAGAAGCTCAAGAGGAAGTGGCCCTAATGAATATTAATTGTGTCTTTCAAAAATAATTTCTTCTTGTTATAGTTTTTAGTAGTGAAATACATTCTCTCCTGGGTAAATATTCACTACTTAAATATTTTCTTTAAACAATCAAGTTAACATAATACATTGAGTTCTGTATGCAATAATTTTTTTATTGTAGTACTGACAAGTTATCAGCATTTCCTGTGACCCCATATGAGGAAAGGGCAAGGAATACAAATGGCACACACTGAATGGAACTGTGATCGTATGCGTGTATGATGTGGTGGCCTCGTGCATGTGCTGTCAGGATATAAATATAAAGCCCCTGTCAGAGCAGCTGACTGAGCCAGAGCTCATCCTGGTTTCTGTAGTGTTCAGCAGGCTACTGTAGACAGCCTGTGACTCCCCTGGGGGACACCAGGCCATCACAGGCATGAGCCCCCAGCAATGCCGACCCCCTCTCACAGCTGGGTGGGCCGGAGCCACCTCAGTCAAGCTTCAGCATCAGCAACACTGTCTGTTGCCTGTCGCAGGTCCGAGGGCTCGCATGCTGCACTGCGCGGTGCCACCCTCCTGTGCCGGGAGGAGCTCATGACACCCGTCCTGTCAGCAGTGAGGGGGGCTTTCTTGGTGCTCAGGGTCCCATGAGTCTGTAGAAATGCTCCAGGCTGAAGCCCCTCCAGCACACTGACACACCGGGGCGGCTGTGAAGCTCTGCCTGAGGACAGGCTGGTCGGAGCGGAGGAGTCAAGGTGGCAGAGAGTCCGCTGTGAGTCCTGCATCTTAATCAGGTGTTAATTGACAGTTACCTGTGAAGCCTGCAGGACCAGGGCTGCCTGTCCCTGTTTCAGTACAGCACGACCCTTGACGTCATTCCCCTGAAGGGTTTTAAGATTGAAGTGCTCTCAGCATCGAAGAGCCCTTGTAGGTGTGCGCAGATGTTGTGGGGGTGTATCAGCTAGTGACACAGTGAGCTGCCCAAGTGGTGTGGCTTGAGAAATCCCCTCTTTCTTCACGGCTGTGTGCATGAGGTCATTGAAAGAGCCTTAAAATGTGGCGTCTTCTCCATCGCCAATGCAGGCAGAGAGAGCAGAGAGCAGAAAGAGCGTTGCGGACAGAAGCGACAGAGAAGGCGGGTCAGATACAGCTCAGGGAGATCCACAATACAGGGACAGCTCTCCCAGTTAGCATTCAGAGCCCTGCTGCTCGTTAAACCCTCCTGGTCCTAGCTGATGGAGGATTGCTCCTTCCCAGGAAAAGCCCAGATGCTGTTAGTGTTCTGAGTGCAAGAGCACGATCCCCTCACCTGAGCCCAGCCCACATGCTGAACAGGGGAACTGCCACTGGACGAGCTTTCTGTATCTTCTGTGTCTTCTACAGAAAGGAAATTCATCTCGGGTTTCCCCCTCACAGACGGGGAGAATAAAACCCACCCGTCTCAAAGAAAGGATTTTTATCTCCATTTTTGGCTCTTGTTTAATGCTTTGTAATCAAAGCAAATGAAAATTTAAAAATGATTTTGATGTGATCAGATACGAGTCTGCGTTCAACAAACAAATGGAGAACTGTGCAGCTCTTTTCATTTTCAGCTTAGATACATTGCAATATTATTTGCATCTAAGTGAATCTTATTAAAGTCCCTCTACTCAATTAGATATATCAGGCTTATAGAGGGTGCAGGAGAAATGACATGAGCTCTGCATCTGTTACACGTTATTCCTTTTCTGCCCAACATAATGCAGCAGGGACCCCAATGAACATTTCAGCAAAGGAGACTGAGCTTTGGCTGGAGCTGTTTGTGTTGTTTAAACAAAGAACCCTAAAACATTAATTTTTCAAGTTTTCAGCAAGAATTTGCAATTAAGGTGACAGTCACAACCGTTCAAAGTATTATTTTTATATGAAAATCCCAGATAGGAAATATTCTGGAAAGTAAAACTGAGATTTAAAGGTGGCCCATGTTAATAATGTTAATCATATTAATATCAATAATGTCCGTATTGTTTTAAGAGGTTCCTGTGAACACGTTTTTTAGGGGAATCTGGATTTTTTGTAAATTTAGGGTTACAAAAGGCAATGTACAAAATGAATCTGTAGCTACTGTTGAAAAAAAACAATAATCTAAAGTGAAAAGAGCATTTTCAGATTTATGCTCTGTTGCACCTCTTCTAATTTTCCTCTAAAGTCTGTGCACAATGATGTGTTGCTTGTGTAGCAGAGTCTAATTTACACAGAAGATGAAGATTCTTCATCTGAAGATGCTGCTTATTCTGACTCCTTTGCTCCATATCAGTGCTGTACAAGCTGCAGGTCACAATGACACCAGGGTGATACTCCACTGCCCTGACTTCAATAAGACGTCCCGCAATATTATCAGTAGCAACAGCAGAAGTAGCAGAATGGAGGAAACAAGGAATAGACCTTGAACTCGAGTGTCATTTCTGGAAGTGATGCTTTTAGATGTTCTCATGTGATAACGTGTCTGTTCAGGTCTTTGGCGGGTTAGGGTTAGGGGTTACCCTAAGCCCGACCCTATCTTCTCCCGCAGCTCGGTTTCCCTGCACTGCCCGGATCCCCTCTGTATTCTGTCTGTGAGACTGCCAGAGCCCCCGGAGACTCCCTGCTGCAGAGACCTGCGCTCACATGGACAGAAGGAGGCAATGTGCACAGGTCCAGACTAGGCGTGCAGCGGACAGTCTCTGCAGATCAGGTCCCCGAGTCTCCTTTTTCCCCGGGTGCTCAACCCCTTCAGTTTCAGGGAACAGGCTCTTGCAGGTCTGACTTTCCAGCTGTGCGGTTCGGTGAACCGTATTGAGGTCTACGTTGTTTGTCGTAGTGCCTCCTGTTTGGCAAAAGAGCGAATGGCGCTTCAAAACGAGACGCATAAACAAGTATTGAAAGATATTTGCAAATTCTATTTTCTTTACTTCTTTGTAGCACAAACAAAACTCATTTAAGACCCACGAGGAGCATAAAACCAAGCTGAGGAACCCAGTGTATTTTCGAATACCTGAGCTAAAACATTATACTGAACTCTAATAAAATCTTGTGGCTTTTTTAAAATAAGTACGCTCTGTTGTTTCAAAATGGTTGTGAATTTGCTGTTTTAAGATGCATTTGATATTGTCAATATGCTCAGTTCTATCTGGTTATTCTTCTGTCTATAAAGTCTAATACACTGTGTGAGTTATGCTGCACAACAGACTGTGTGACTGATGTTACGTGTTGTGTCAGGGGAGGCAAACATGTCATGAGCCACAGTGACAGCAGGGCTGGGGAAATACTGTAAAATATCTAGAAATATCCCATAAAAAAGACACCGCTGGCTGTCTGCGCCATTGGGATTGACTGGTTAGATCAGTTTGTAACTAAGGATCCTGTATATTAACCTTGAGCAGCAGGTCGAAACATTCCCTGCTCTCGTGCAAAGCGCACACGTCGTCATCGAGAGAGCAGCTGCAAACTCCAAACACATGAAGCTGGTCATTACTTGATTACTTGATTACTTCATCAGTCTCAAGCGAGAGCCCTTCGTCTGAGTCTTCACGAGGTCAGATGAAGACTGGGCGTTCACTAGATGTTAGAGAGTCTGCTGTCTTTAAACAATTTAAAAGTTCCGTATCGTTATTTGTACTAACCTTATTGGCAAAGTTGCTTTCAAAAAGTGTTCATTAGCAATGATCTAAATGGTTCCATTTCCAAACACACACTTGTATTTTCATAGGTGTCTTGGAATTAAATGTCAGGTATTTCCTCCAACTATCACTGCAAGGAAGAATTAGAAATGACACTAAATTCATTGACTCCCAAAACAGAGAAGTTCCTTCAGAATGGCTCCGAGCTGAGCGCTGGTATTCACTTTGTATAGGGCGCCATCTGCTGGTGGGAACAGAGTTAGTTACTAATGTACATGTACTCAAGCGAAAACTACAGTACAATATACATACAGTATAAGAAATCTTAATTATTTACTAACACCTTTTGGTGTTATCTCAGATCCAGCTCAGATCTTGAAAGAAGTCAGGTTATTGGCTTCAGCATGGTTGGGCAGCCTTGTTCCTGTCTTCCACCAAGTAATTACAAAGATTTCAAGCAGGACATGAGGTCGTGAAGCTCGCGTCTGAAAGGAGCTAAAATCCTAGCACTGCTGCAATGAAAAGCACAAAGAGGGACAGAAAGGATTCTGTGTGAGAACTGACTAGAGAAAAGCACCTGAGACAACAGGGACGTTTCCAGAGGCATCAGAAGCCCATCAAGACCGAAGAGCGCTGTTCTTGTGGAGTCAGGAGATTTGGCGAGCCGGTTCTGGTGCCGGCGCAGAGGGGGGAACTGGTTGGGGAAGGATGCTCAGGCTCACAGGCGGCAGGCGAGCCCGTCTCTGCAGGGAGGTGGACAGAGAGGAATCCACCGTGCGGACAGCAGGGAGAACAGGCTGAAAGGGGCCTGTCTCTATAGAGCAGGAGGAGGAAAAAGTGAGACTTCACAGGAAAGAGCAGGATACTGGGGGGGTGAAGTTCTACACCATGATCTAGTCACCAGACAGGAGGACAGCCTTGCGGTTCTAGCTCTTGGCGGGATAGAGACTCATCGATCCTGACGGCCTCAGCTCTGCAGCGGTATCACCTCCCACTCGAGAGCAGCCGTCAGGCCGGCCTGACACAGGAAGCGCTATTCCGAGAGACAGGATGAACGTCTTCTAGTCGTGCACAGAGAAGACGGAGAGGACCTGCTACGACTATTTAAAACCCTCAAAGACACGGACAAAGTCAGCCCATCTGATCTCTCCCACTTGTGGAAGCCACATGGAAGTGCTTGAAAACCGAGAACAGGAGACACTCCTTTACACAAAGGGTTATTGGATCTTCGGCTCCCAAACAGATACTGTACTAACTGCCAAACAAAGGAGCTGAACCGATTGGCCGCCTCCTGTCTCTGACCTCTCTAATGCTCATTGGTACCTGTATAATCTCCACTCTGCCTCCAGCTCCCCACCCTCTGTGTCTGTCTGACCTGAGGACAAATCCTCTCTTCCTCCACCTGGCACTGTTCCCCAGATCTCACCTGGGATGTGTTTCTGGGTCTGAGTGTTGCTTTCTTGTATTTTACACCCTTAAGTGCAGTTAGACCTGTGATAGTTTGGAATCAGGAACCGGAAGAGTAAATTATGAGCGCTTTGGTTCCTAATAGGAAACAATCAGACCAAATAAAAACCAACACTCAGACGCAGAAATATCGACATCAGCACGCAGACTGAGAATATACAATATACAATTTATTAACACGACAGCACAACACGCATAGCAAACCAGCAAGAGGAACAGTACTATACAGTGTATATCTGCGTCAATCTGCCTCCATACAAATGGCTGTTCATCCACTCAGGGATTACAGAGGTGTTGATAACATCAGGGCTCAAATACATCGACTTCAGCAATTGTTATTGTCAACCTCGTCATCTTTATTCAGTCTCATACACCTAATGTTCACAGTCCGAAGGACAAAGTAAATGTTGTCACAAGATGTAAAACAAGTAAAGCTATTAAATGTTTTAGCTACTACTTTAGAAGTTCAACTCCATTAATATTTTGAATTTTGCACAATTACACTCGGTGTGCAAGTCTGAAGATTTCTCTGGGTGCAGGGAAAGTCCCGGGCAGACGTCCCTTTCAATCCCCGGCGCTCTCTTGCGCTCCTGGAAGCTGGGCGCAGCCGTGTGGGTTCAGGCCAGTATTGTGGATGCCAATTGGTCGGGTGAGGTGATGAGGGGTGGTGTCCTTCCCTGTCCAGCAGGCCTCTCATCGGCTGGTTATCTTTGAATGACTGACCGATGACCTTCAGCCGCGGTTCTGATAAGGTGGCCCCTGTTGGTGTAACTAAGGGGCGCTAATGTGGGACTCTTCATCTCTAGAGGTGTCAGAGGTGACCCCAATCTCAGAATCCTGGTTTGTTTTAGAGGGAAGCTGCGGAAAAATTCCTGCGCAGCTCTTGTTTTCACTCACCGGCTGCCTGCAAATGTCCTCAACAAGGCGGAAGTGTCTGATACAGACGGTGCCAGCTGTGCTGGAGGAAGTGGGTGGTGGGAGAGAGCAGGGGTGTGGGCCACTCAGGGCTCCGGGCTCTGTGCTCCAGGCTCTGCGCTCCAGGCTCTGGGCTTCGGACTCCGGGCACCGTTCTGTGCTTCGGGCACAGGGCCTTTGCAAGCAGAAGAACTGGGAGTGTCCAGTATTTGTAAGGAGTTTTGACTTGGATGTAGTCACTGATAATACTGTATTCCCCAGCAGCTGTGTTTCTACTGCTGTGCCCTCACACTTTCACAGCAGGCGAGCGAACAGTAGTCAAGATTGTGATCGGTGTGGCTGGTGAGTTAGTGTTTCCTGATCACCTCCTTCAGAAACCCTCTCGTGTGCCCCTACTCTTTCTGCGCCTCTCCCCCCAGACCAGTTACACACGAGAGGAGGCCCAGCCAGCCCCTGACACCCTGCACAGTCTGGACAAGACGAGTTCCTTTCCTGCGTGGCCCACCTGCACTTCCTCTAGGAAGATCAGAGACTTGCAATGTGAGAATTAGACATGGGGTGTCAGATGGACCAATCTGATGTGTCGGTCCTGCTCTGGTGTGGTCACTCGAGGGCGACCGGATCTTGGACTGTCGTCTGTCCTGCCGGTCTGCTGAAACCTTCTCTGCAGTTGGGACACAGTAGAGCGGCTCACTCCATAGAGTCTGACAACGCTGGCACATGACATGCCTGCCTGCAGCATGCCAATGGCCCTCTGCCTTGCTTCTGGTGACATTTGACATTATTCGTTGCTAAACAGTAATGAATAAACATCTCAACAGTAGGATGGACACTGGGACCATATTCCAAGTTTCCCACTGGGAAACTGCCTATATCCCTGTTTTTGATCTCGAATCCATTAAAGCACATCCTTGAGAGCAGTTAGTAAAAGCAGGCTCTTAGATTGTGTGCCAGGAAGCGAATACTGTTAAGCTACATTGTTGTTAATACTTAGTGATAATAATTAACAGTAAAAAATGACTGATTTACTCTTCATTTTATATATTATGGAATGCACAGAAAACTGACTAAGTGTGGCCTTTTTCTTGCAGTGACCTAAGCTTTGAATTAAGGCCTTTTTAAAGGTGACCTGATCAGGCATTGTTCCACCTGGATCTCGTTGGGTAAAAGTGCACCTAACGAGCTTTCGTGTGATTTGCAAGTTGCAATGCCTCACTGCACAAGCTGTATTGCTGGTCAGAGGGCTTAAAACAAATTGACAACTTTTTGTAAAAGTGCATAAACTATAACTATAGTATTCTCATTCCAGAAAATGTTGCATTTATTTTTTCCATCAGTATATTATCAAGCACCATGCACTGAATTCCAAGCCTGCAAAATACAAAAAGCATAAATTAGCTTCGCTCTGCAACTCTGCACTGGGAGAAATGTTTTTGGATATGTTCAATGATACAAACACAAAGAAAAGAAAACACACAGCACAACTGTGAGCATCAGCTTCAAATGTGAGACTCAGTACTTTGGTGAGACACCAACCAAAAGGTGACACATTCTCAGAGTTGATAAGGAGGGCCAATCAGCACAGCATCCAATTTTAACCTCATCAGTGTGACAAGGCAGATAATGATTGATTAATGTCAGGTTTATGTGAACATAAATGCAGTCAGCACCATAGCGATGAAAGCTGGTGTCATACTCATGAAAAACCTGACCCAATGGTAGCAGATAAATACTAAAAAGAATGGGACCAAGTAGGGAGCCGTGAGGGACACCACTCCAGTCCCTTGCGCCTGGTGTTAAACACAATACAGACTGAGAGATGATATGGGTTCATTTTCCTTCCTCACAGACTGGAGAGCCTTGAGCTGCAGAAGGATCAAAGAATGCTGCAAAATATCATGACATTGCACTCTTTCATGTAGCTGTTTCTGTACTCTTCGATGACATTTTGGAAATAAAGTTTTAATTGAACACAGTTTGGTTCTGTCTTAACTGTGGTCAGGTCGTTGTAAGTGGGTTATTTCCATCACCTACTGTGTGCATTTCCAGTGCTGTCACCTTGTTAATTAATGGCGAAGTGATGGAGTTCTGGTCCTAAAGGAAGAATGTGGGGTGACCTTTGGTCCAGGACTGGTGTTGCACCTCATGTGCAGAATATCATAAAGCCCA